GTCAGGGTCATGAGGCCCAGGGGCTGCTGGCTTCACCCTGAGCCTCCGCCAGGAGACCAGCAGGAGGGGGCTGGACCCACCCGAGAAGCAGACATCGAGGGCTGCAGGTGCACCTGTGGCTGTGTGCAGCAGGGACCATGGGCAGGGAGGTGCGTGACAAGGTGACGTGCCTCGGAGTCTGTGTTGGAAGCCCCTGCAGGGTGAAGGGTCATGCTGGAACCTGAGGGGTATGCCACAGCACTGGCTCCACTCACCATTTTTTTTGAAAAGATTTATTTTATTTATTTGAAAGGCAGAGTTACACAGAAAGAGAGAGAAGGAGATAGACAGGACACAGAGGATCTTCCGTCCTCTGGTTTACTCCCCAAATGGCCAAAGTGGCTGGGGCTGGCCATCTTCCACTGCCTGCCCAGGTGCATCAGCAGGGAGCTGGATTGGAAGTGGAGCAGCTGGGACTCAAACCGGTGCTCATATGGGATTCTGGCGTCATGGGTGGCAGCTTAATGTGTTACACCACAGTGCTGCCCCCCAAACTCATAATTTTAAAGTATATACTTAAAGTGAGACTTTCAGCTGTGCAACCATCACCACTGGCTAATTCCACAACATTTGTATTTCCAACACCCACAAAAGAAACCTTGTTCCTATTGGTTGTCACTCCCAATTCCCCTCCCTACCGGATCCCTGGAAATCACGAATCCACATTCTGCCTCCATGTGTTTGCCAGTCTGGGCATTTCATATTCCTGGAACCACACAAGGCATGGCCTTTTGCTGCAAGCTTTGTTTACTTTGCTTAAAGATCTCAGATGTCATCCATGTTGCAGCATGTAACGGTATTCCACTCATTTTTGTGGCTGCATGCTATTCCATTGGGTGCACGTGCCACGTTTTGCTTACCCATTCATCTGTTGGCGGACATGTGAGTTGCCTCCTCTTTTTGGCTATCACAGGTAACACTGGTTTTGGTGTGGGCGGATGTTTCTGCTTCTCTGTTGATTCCTTGTGAGATGTGGAATGCTGCTTGGAGTTACGATGCACCTCTAAGATTAGTATTTTGGGCAACTGCCAGGCTGCTCTCCAAACAGCTAGTGGATTTTTACCTTTCCAAGAGTGGTGGCTCGGACTTGGTAATACCCCTGACCCTGGCTTCCAGCCTCCCTGCCTGAGCCTTCCCAACTTGAAAGCTCAGGAGAGAGAATTCTGCTACCAGACTTCATGTAGCTGTTTCCCAAGGTTGCAGCTGTACAAGACAAGAAGCTTTACATACTTTAATTGCCTGGAAAGCACAGTATGGCCCTTGGGTGCAGCCAGCGTGATTTATCTGTCTAGCTGAGGGGATCCTTTAGCCCAGGAGGCGCCACCTGTGGGTGACACTCAGGCACTGGCTGGGCTGACGTTCCCAGGAAAGGGAACTGTGTTGACCTGGGCGGTTTGCCAGGAGGCGTCCTTATTCTGTGGGATCTGCCAGGCACATCTCGTCAGGCTGTGGAACAGATCCTGGGGCTTGCTGGCAGGGAGCTGGCGTCGGCTTGGGTGTCAGGGGCGTGAGGCAGGAGAGAGCTCTGTCCAGGTGGATGGAGATGGCAGGTGCAGACTGCTTCTTCCTAGGGGCCAGACAGGAGAGCAGGTAGGTGAGGGCTGTCCGTTCACAAGGGGCGTGGAGCAGAGGCCTCCTGGCTGCCCACACTGTTCTTTTTGCGATTGGGAAGATGAAGGCCCTGCCTGCAGGAGCCCAGACCTGCCTGCCTAGATGAGTGAGGGTTTGTGTGTGCAGCATCTGGATGCGGGAGTGAGGTAATGTAGGCAGGTGGGGCGGGAAGGAGATTGCTAACCCCGAAGGACTTCCCTTGTGGAGAAGGAAAATTACCAGCTGCACTGATTCTGCCACTGGAGGGGAGGCAGGGCTTGTTCATTAGTCAGTCTGAGGCAGTGGTGTGGGAGGTGGAGGGAAGAGACAGCCAGGGAGACGCTCCCCTGAGATCCTTGTGGACTCGCCAGGCACCTGCCTGCAGGTGTCAGGTCCATGACACCTGGGGGGAGATTTGTCCAGCCCTGGACGTCTCAGGCCTGGGGGTGTTTATTCACACAACAAATATTTATGGAGGTCCTTACTGTGGCCTCGGGAGCTTCTGGGATTCAGGAACGTAACCACAAGCAAAATAAGCACCTGTAATGGTCCCCGTGGCGATCCGAGCCTCCGGGGGCAGTGGGGCCCTGAATGGATGCTTCAGGAAAGTAGGCACTCTGGGAAATGGCTCAATATAGAGGGGCCCAGAAAACTTTCCTGCAACGCCGGGGATCATCAGAAGTGAGCAAGGGTAGCGGGGAGGGAGGCAGGGAGAACAGCCTTGCAGGTAGAGGGCACAGCAGGTGCAGTGCAGCATCCCAGAAGGGAGAACAGAGAGGAAGGAGGGGCATGGGGGACGGGTAGGCGGGGCCAGTCTGCTCAGGCTCAAGGGCGATGGGACTTGTTCTTCCTTGTGAGCAGTGGCAGGGCTGTGTTTGAAGTGACTGCTTTGTGGGGGTCGGGGGGTGGGGGTGGCGCACAGATAGCAGTCACAAGCCTTGCAGGACAAGGCAGCGGATTCAGAAGTAGAAACAAACATCCCTTTGGGGTGGGCATTGTGGTGCAGGGGGTTAAGCCACCACTTGGGATGCCTGCACCCCATGCATTGAGTCCTGTCTTGGCTTCTGATCCAGCTTCCTGCTAAAGTACCCGGGAGACAGCAAATCATGGCCCAGGTATTTGGGTTCCTGCCACCCACAAGGGAGACTCAGCCCAGCCTAGGCTGCTGTGGGCATTTGGAGGGGAGTGAACCAGCAGATGGAAGACCTCTGTCTTTCTCCCTCTCTCTGTCACTCTGCCTTTCAACAAAATAAATTAATTAAAATAAACAAACATTCCTTTCCCTCGCCATATAGAGTTGTGAGATTTTTCCTGGGAGCTCCTGAGTGGATGGGGTTGTGGTCCTGGCTTTAGGAGAGGGAGGGGCCGCCCAAGTGAGACCAGGGCCAGCTCTGGCAGGTGCAAGGTCAGTGAGGCTGCTGGGTGGGCTTCACAGTGGCACAGCTGAGTCACGGGAAGAGTTGGTGCTGAGAGGAGGTGGGGGCCTCGCAGGGGCAGGGGCCACACAAGCCCTTCTGACGCTGGCTTGAGCCTCTGAAGCTCATTTTGGCCTTGAATTTCTGGTAGAACTGGGAAACTACATTTTTTCCTGGACACCTGGGAAGCAGACCTTCCTCCTTTGGGTTCCATCAGACCTACCTGGCTAGGTGTGTAAGCCATGCCTGCCGCTGTCTTAGAAGGTCTGAGCTGGAGGCCTCGGAGTTCAGCTGTCTAGGGCTTCTCAGAGTATGGTCCTGAGAGCCCTATACTAGCATCGTCTGTGGGGTAACAGCTACCTCAGACCTACTGAATCAGAATTCACTATTTTGGGGACAGAGGTAGACAATGGTAGGATTTATTAGTAAATCAGCACTTAAATGATTTATTTACTTATTTGAGCAAGTGAGCGCGCGAGCTGTCGTCTGGTTTACTCCCAGATGTCCACAATGGCTGGAGTGCAACCAGGGCTGGGCTGTAACCAGGAACTCCACCCAGGACTCTCACATGAGTGGCAGCTCAGTTGCTTGAGCCATCATTGCTGTCTCCCAGGCAGTGCATTAGCAGGAAGCTGGAGTCAAGAGCTAGAGCCAGGAGGCAAACCCAGGCATCTGATGCGGGACACAGGCATCTTAGCCACTAGGCTAAACGCCTGCCCTGGATTCTGCATTTTAAGTAAGTGTTCCGGAGGATTCTTGGCATATGGCCTTGGTTTCCTGTGGGTGTTGTCATACATTCCACAAATGCGCTGGCTGAAAACAACAGAGATATGTTCTCTCGCAGGCCTGTAGGCTCAGCTCAGCCTCCCCGGACCACACTCCTTCCAGAAGGCCTAGGGGAGAACCTGCCCTTGACCTCCTGCAGCTGGGGGTGGCTGCTTCTCGGCCTGTGGCAGGGCCTCTCCATTCTCTGCCTCCCTGCTTGCACGCCTTCTCTCTTGCCTGCTGCCAGGTCTCCCCTAGCCTCCCTCCCTCAAGGACATCACGCAGTTAGGGCCAGGAGAATCTCAAGTTCCTTAGTTGTATTTGCAGACCCTTCTCCTAGATAAGGTACCATTTACGGTTTCCAAAGATTACAACCTGGTATCTTTGGGAGACCATTTTCTAGCTTGCCGTGCATACCTGAGCTCAAAAACCATTGATATGGTCCACACCCTGGGGGTGGTCAAGGCACGGGGAACTGGGTGACCCATCCAGGTCACACAGCCGTAAGTCCCTTCTGAGATCAGAACCAAGGCTCCCGATCCCCAGGCTTTTGTCCCAGCTCCTGGCTCTGAGGTGCACTGGCATCTGGGCGTCTTGTGTGCAAATCTGAGCAAATTACACGCACAATCCCACCTCTCCTCCACACAAGCCTGTGAGAGAGGCTTTCCTGTTATCTGCCGTTTTACACAGGGGAAAGTGCAAGGGAAAGGGGTTAGGTAGCTCGCTCAAGGTAGCAGAGCTCATTCCTGGTGGAGCTGGGACAGCGGCCGAGGCGGTCAGAGGCTCAGACTTTCACTCGTGTGGAGCCTCCCTCCTGCGCTGCTCACTCTGAACCTACCCTTGTCTGATACGGTGGCCTCCTGGAAAAGAGGGAACCACACTTCCCTGCTTGGAAAGGAGACCCCTGCAGCCCCTTGTCCTCCTCCTGTTCAGAACCATTCATCCCATTCCTCGGGGAAGTCCGACCTCAGCCGTGCCCTCAGCCGTCTCGTCAGTCCCTGGGTCCGATGCCGGGCAATAGGTCTTACCAAGAGGTGAAGGTGCTTGGGATCCTGAGGGATTTCTTGGGCTAATGACCTGGGATGGGCCCTGGGAGGTTCCCAGCAGCCTCCACGTTGTCTAGGAGAGGCAGACGGAGGAGGTGGGGCAGGTGCGTGTGCACCTTGGGTACATATTTGTTTCTAGCTGTGACTCACTTCCCTCTGCAGTGGGCCCTGGGGAGAAACGTTTACCTGCTCCACCTCCGTCCGTGCTGCCTTATAGCTCCCCTCCCTGTGGGGTAGGTGTCTGAGAACACAGCCGCCCTGCCCCGTGTCCATCCCGCAGAGCCCTGGCCATGGCAGCCCTGGCAGCTGGCGTGTCCAGGCAGCGGGCGGCTGCAGAAGGTCTTGGCTCCATCCAGAAAGCCGTGAAGTACTTGGGCCAGGACTTCGAGACCCTGAGGCAACAGTGCCTGGACTCAGGGGTCCTATTTAAGGACCCAGAGTTCCCAGCCTGTCCGTCAGCTTTGGGCTTTAAGGAACTTGGACCGCACTCCCCCCAGACTCAAGGCATCGTGTGGAAGCGGCCCACGGTAAGGAGACGGCCTCTGCTGAGTGCCGGGTGGGGTGGCGGCCCCTTGAGTCTGGCCAGGGGGAGTTGAGGAAGACATGGCTGCTGTGCCTCCCAAGTTCCTGATTCCCACGTTTCAGACCCTTCTCGCCTCCTCTGCTTTTAAAATCTGTTTTCAGAGGCAGTGAGGAAGAACTGACTTGGGCTTTGGGACCAGAGACAAGTTAGATTTGAATCCTGCCTCACTGCGGACAGATAAATAACCCTGGTGAACATCAGTTTTGTCATCTGTGAAGGTGTGCCATTAGTGCCTTATTTTTCTGGGAGATAAAACAAAGATGAATCTGATTATATTACCACAGAATATGTGGTAGGTGTCGCCCAGGCCCCCGGGGCCAGAGCACAGTGGGACAAACCAGTGCTAGCTGTGGTCAGCTCTGGGTCGTGAGGACAGCCCCCCGGCTGAAGGGTCCACAAGTGGCCACTGCTCTCTCAGGGCGGAGCCGCGGCTCTGTGGATGCAGTGGAAGCCAGGGGCTCCTGGATGCCTTTACTGATGTCCACAAAGCCCAAGGTCAGAAGATGGAGAATTGTCCTCCCGAAACCCAGGCCTGCGACTTCTCCCTGGGTGGCCCTTGTTGAGTGATTTCCCTGCGAGGGCCAGAGCCCCCCTCACCTAGAGTGGTTGTGAGAACTGGGGCCACCGACCTGAGGTCTCTGTTCTGTGTGACACCTAGCTGAGTCTCGGAAGGTGAGCTGTCCGGTGAACATACTCAGCGGCCTTGGCCTTGGTAATAGGGGCACCGGGGCATGGTTCCTGTTTGCCCGGCAGTGGTTGAAAGGGAAGATAGGAAGGGAATAATTCTCTGGAAATGATCAAAATCCCCGCTGCACTCCAGCTCTCTCTGCTCCTCTGTCTCCATCCTATTGGTTTAGCACCACAGTTTGCACCCCTGGGAATAAGTCCTTCTCCACGCCTCCCTCCTGCCCACCCTGGTCCCTCTCCCCAGGGCCCTCTGAAACCTACTGGTCACTGTGGGCGAGGGCAAATCCAAGTGGGAAATCAGTCTTGGGTGGTGACTGTGAGGGCAACAGCCGCGTCCCGTCTGAGCAGGCGGCTTCTCGGCCACTGCTCTGTGCCAGGCATCAGCGCTGCCTTGTTTGGGAGGGCGGCTGCGGGGAGTGGAGGAATGGGCTGTGGTCTCTACTCTGGCAGAAACTGTGGGAGGGCTGACGCCCAGGGCGGGAGGAGGAAGTGCTCACTAGAGGCATAAAAGGATGTCGCAGGGACTTGGGATGTTCGGCTGAGCACCCCGATCTGAAAATGTTTGTGTGCATACCTGATGCCACAGTGGAAGACTGCCCGCTGGACCTCACGTGACGGGTTGTGTGCCCTGGAAATATCCTATAAACTTTCTTTCAGGCTGTGAGTATAATATACAGACACACATGGGGCCGGTGCCGTGGCTTGCTGGGTTAATTCTCCGCCTGTGGCGCTGGCATCCCATATGGGCGCTGGGTTCTAGTCCTGGTTGCTCCTCTTCCAGTCCAGCTCTCTGCTGTGGCCCGGGAGGGCAGTGGAGGATGGGCTTGGGCTCCTGCACCCGCGTGGGAGACCGGGAAGAGGCACCTGGCTCCTGGCTTCGGATTGGCGTAGCTCCGGCCGTAGTGGCCATTTGGGGGCTGATCCAATGGAGGGAGGACCTTTCTCTCTGTCTCTCTCACTGTCTATCTGTCAAATAAAAATAAAAATAAAAAAAGATACAGACACACATGCCCGAGTTGCATCCCCAAGATGTGTCACCCTGTGTATATAAGTATGCCAAAATCCGAAAACGTCTGAAATCAAAACACTTCTGGTCCCAAGCATTTGGGGTAAAGAATACTCAACCTGTGCCACTTCAAGTGGAGTTGAGGGTGAGGGGCTGAGATGGGGCTGAGGAGGGAGCAGCGCTTCCTTTTGTGTCAGTCATGCATCAGTTTACCTTTGCCTAGTTTTTCTCCTTCCCTTTAAATTCATTTTCATGTTAAATAATTTTAGTGAGCACATAATATTCGTGTTATGAATTTATGGGGTACAATATGATATTCAGTACATAGATGCACCACGTAATGCTCCAGTCAGGGTAATTGGTATTTTCATCTTCAAATATTTATTGTTTTTATGTAAAGGGAATCTTTGGACATTTCTAATTATTTTAAAATATATAATACACAATTTTAGACTGGAATTACTCTCTGGTATGCCATAGAACACTAGCTAAATTTTTTAAAAGATTTATTTTATTTATTTGAAATACAGAGTTACAGAGAGAGTTAGAGATAGAGAGATATAGGTCTTCCATCCGCTGGTTCACTCCCCAAATGGCCACAACAGCCGAGCTGCGCCAATCCAAAGCCAGGAGCCAGGAGCTACTTCTGAGTCTCCCACATGGGTGCAGGGGCCCAAGGACTCGGGCCATCCTCTGCTGCTTTCCTAGGCCATAGCAGAGAGCTGGATTGGAAGAGGAGCAGCCAGGACTAGAACCAGTGCCCATGTGGGATGCCGGTGCTTCAGGCCAGGGCATTAACCCACTGCGCCACAGTGCTAGCCCCCTTAATATTTTTTAAAGATTATTTATTTATTTGAGAGGCAGTGTTACAGACAGAGAGGGAGAGATAGAGAGAGAGGTCTTCTATCCACAGTTCACTCCCCAAATGGTTGCAATGGCCGGAGCTGGGCTGATCTGAAGCCAGGAGCCAGGAGCCAGGAGCCAGGAGCCAGGAGCTTCTTCCTGGCCTCCTATGTGGGTGCAGGGGCCCAAGGACTTGGGCCATCTTCTACTGCTTTCCCAGGCCATAGAAGAAAACTGGATCAGAAGTGGAGCTGCTGGGTCTTGAATTGGCACCCATATGGGGTGCTGGCACTGCAGGAGGTGGCTTTACCTGCTACGCCACAGTGCCAACCCCCTACTTATTTTTAGATTGTGGTAAAGTCCACATAACATAAACCTTGATGCATTCCCGCTGCTGTGCAATCATCGCCACACTCCATCTCCAGAACTTTCTTCATCTTGCAGAACTGAAACCCTGGACCCATTAAACAGCAATGCCCCAGCCCCTGCAGGCTACCATTCTACTTCCTGACCAAGAATTTGGCTATGCTGGGAGCCTCATATAAGTAAAATCAGAAACACCTCAAGGTTATCCGTGTTGTAGCATGTGTCAGAATTTCTTCCCCACCCACTCCCACCCCCCACCTCCCTTTTTTAAAAAAATTTTTATTCAGTTATTTGAAAGGCTGAGAGATAGAGACAGGAAAAGAGAGAGGGAGAGAGGGAGGGAGCGGAGAGAGAGAGAGGCTGCTGATTCACCCCCCATGTTGTTGCAATGGCCGGGGCTGGTCCAGACTGAAGCCAAGAGCCTGGAACTCCATCCTGGTCTCCCACCTGGGTGGCAAGGCCCATGTTCTTAGGCCCTCCTCTGCTGTCCTCCCAGGCACATTAGCAGGGAGCTGGATCAGAAGCAGAGCAGTCAGGGCTTCAACCAGCGCTCTGATATGGGATGCTGGTGTCGCAGGCCTCAACCTCACCCATGCACCACAACGCCGGCCCCTTCCTTTCTTTTTCAGGCTGAGTAGTATCATATACTACATTTTATTCACTCGTCCATTGATGGACACTTGGGTTGCTTCCACCTTTTGGCTGCTGTGAATCATGCTGCTGTGAGCACGGGTGTGCCAATATCCCTGATTCCAGTTCTTTGGCTAGATATGCAGAAGTGGGATTGCCGGATCATGGAGTAATACTATCTCATGTTTTTGAGGAATCGCCACCCTGTTTTACACAGTGGCTGTATCATTTTACATTCCTACCAGTGGCGCACAGGATTCCAGTTTTCCCACATCCTTGCTACTACTTGGTATTTCCTGGTTTTTTTTTGGACAGTAGTCATCCTCATGGGTGTGAAGTGGTTTCTCGTTGTGCTTTTGCTGTGCATTTTCCTAACGCTTTCTGAGTTGAGCATCTTTTCATGTGCTTATTGATCACTTGTAGGTGTGCCCTGGAGAAATGCCCATTCAAGTCCGTTGCCCATTTTCTAAGCAGGTGGATTCTTTTCTTTGCGTCACTTGCTTTTGTTTCACTTTTGAGGATGACTTCTGATTTCTTGGGGGCACTGGAAGTCAGCTGCCCAGGTGCGGCTCTTCTCATTTTGGTGCCCCCAGAGATGTTAATTCTTTTTTTTATTTTTATTTTATTTTTTTATTTTTGACAGGCTGAGTTAGTGAGAGAGAGAGACAGAGAGAAAGGTCTTCCTTCCATTGGTTCACCCCCTCAAATGGCCGCTACGGCTGGAGCTGCACCAATCCGAAGCCAGGAGCCAGGTGCTTCTCCTGGTCTCCCATGCGGGTGCAGGGCCCAATGAGCCATCCTCCACTGCCTTCCTGGGCCACAGCAGAGAGCTGGACTGTGTGTCACATATATTGTAGATTGTTTATAATTATATATCCTAGGCCACATATTAGGTGTTTTTGCCCTTCCCATAACACATAAAGACGAATACTTGGATGTTGTCTGGAGCCGTCATGTTGGACCTCCTGTCTCTGCAGGGGTACCTGCCTTGTCTGAGGCTGCCAAGCACAGGGTTCGCCTGGGCTCTTGTCTCAAGGGTTGGACAACAAGTTTGCCCAGATAAAGATCTCAAGGTCAAGCTGGGACTCTCAGGATGAGCTTTTGGTTGTTCATAATCCTAAGGCAGTTTTTCCCACTGCTATTAGGCAGAACAACAGTTCCGTCACAAGCAGAATGACTGGCTGTGCAGGATCAGGGAGCGCTCCTGGCGGCTGCTTCTCTCATCCTCCTGCCCAGGCGTCCCCACTGTGCAGGGCGGTGCCTCTGTGGTTTGAGGAGTAGCCAGCGTGTGCAGACCCTGGCGTGGACCAGTCAATGACGCTCTCTTCTAAAGTGTCCACTTGTGACAATTAAGTAGTTTATTGATCTTAAGAAGAAATACAGAGCTAGGAGCTGCATGACAAGGAGCCCCGGGAAGAGAGACAGTGAGCATTGAAGTGTTGGGAGATTAGCAGAAGGGGCAGAGGCAGGGACTTGTCTGGGGCCTCCACCCTTTGTCCAGGTGCTCCCTTGTGCATTTGTGAATCTGGAGTTTTCAATCCAGCCATGGTTTAATGCACGCTGGGTGTGTGAAGGTGCTCAAGAGGACTCTTTGTGGACTGCAACTAGTCAGGGAGAGGCGAATGGACAAGCGGCTGGCTGGCCGGCAGCACAGCAGTTAAGAGCAAGGGCTTGGGTGTCAGGTGCATTGGGGTTCTGGTCTTTTGCCTGCCTTTGCTAGCAGGATAACTATGGGGGAAGTTACTAAGCTCCCTGAGACCCAGTCTCCTCAGTTATGCAAGGGAATAATAGTATTTTCTACTTCATTGAGTTCTAGGGAGACTTGAATGAGAGAAAGGGTGAGTGCTTCAGACAGTGAGGCGTCAGACAGAAGGAGAAGGCAGAGGGCGAGCTCAGGCCCTGCACAGTGGTCACTGCCATTGCAGGAGAGAGGATGTGGTGGGAAATGCAGACCACTGGGTGTGGGAACGCCGGGGCCGGGGAGGGGGGTGGTAGGCGCTTCCACGGAGCCAGCGTCCCCGAAAGTGCAGTGTAAGTCACTTCCTGCCTTGGATTGCTTGTTGATGCCCGCTCCCCAGAGGCTGAGGCCAGGCTGGAGGAATTTGTATTTGTGCACAGTGTGGGTCCTTTACTCGATCGAGAGGAACATTATTACTGAGAACGCACAATTGCTATTAAGGGGAAAAAAAGAGGCACACATGTGGGCAGGTGGGAGCCTGCATCTTCCATCCTCTAGTCTGAGTTCCAGCAGGAAGCTCGGGCGGGAGAAGGCCTGGGCGAGTTCTTCGGGCACAGCGTGGCGGTGCAGGCTCCTCATCTCTTTGCAAACCTAGGGATTCTCACACAGTGCAGCAGTACTGGCATTTCTTGGTTGTTTTAATTTTTTTCTGGATAAGGGGGCGCATTTTGGATAATACCAGTGAATAAGACATAGTAAAATAAACATTCCTTCCGCCCACAAACCACTTAGCGCCACTCTGTGCACAGCAGTTTAAAGCCAGGCTGTGAGAGGAACAAGTCTTTTTTTTTTTTTAATTTATTTGACAGGTAGAGTTATAGACAGTGAGAGAGACAGAGAGAAAGGCCTTCCTTCTGTTGCTTCACCCCCCAAATGGCTGCTATGGCCAGCGCACTGAGCTGATCCGAAGCCAGGAGCCAGATGCTTCCTCCTGGTCTTCCATGCAGGTGCAGGGACCCAAGCACTTGGGCCATCCTCCACTGCCCTCCTGGGCCACAGCAGAGAGCTGGACTGGAAGAGGAGCAACCAGGACTAGAACCCGGCGCCCATATGGGATGCCGGCTCCGCAGGCGGAGGATTAGCCAAGTGAGCCACAGCGCCAGCTAGATAGTCCTGATGTCGCGCAGCCTGGGTGCCTCCGAGTCAGTGTGGTGGACTTCCTTTGCTTCTTGGGCTCTTTTTCTTCTCCCTCAAACAATGTGGTGGTCGGGCAGACACAGGCCTTCTTTGGGGACCAGTCTATAGGCATCCCCTGAATCCTGCATTTCTATCCATCTATCTGTCCATCTGAAGGGAAGAGAGAGAGAGGGAGAGAGAGGGAGAGAGGGGGAGAGAGAGAGAGAGAGAGAGAGATCTCCTATCCTCTGGTTTACTACCCCAAGTGTCATTAAAGCTAAGATTGGGCCAAACCAAAACCAGGGACTTGGAACTCAATCTGAGTCTCTCGTATGGGTAGCAGAGATCCAGGTATGTGGACCATTGCCTGCTGCCTCCCAGGGTGCACGTTAGCAGGAAGCTGGAGTCAGCAGCAGAGCTGGGACCCCACGCGGGCCCTTCCGTGTGCCGAACGCCCTGCCTTTCCGACAGACGTGCGCCATCTCCCACGGGAACAGTCTTTCAGCCTTCATGGCTGTTGGGCATTTCCCACTTTCCTCTCTTTGTGGATGTCATCTGCGTTCCATCGTTATGCTCTAGCCCTTTGCCTCTGGCTGTGTCTTGAGTGCCAGTCTCAGTTTCCCACACAGATGGAAAGCCCTTGGAGGCCAAGTGTTTTCTTTCTTTCTGTTCTCCATTCCCCCTGTTCCCCCTCTCCCCTGCCTGCCATAGTGAGTCGAGCAGGCACAGAATAAACCCTTGCTGGGAACCAAAGGTGGCAGGCAGACCTAAAGCGCGCCCCCTTGTGCCAGGCAGAGCTGGGAGGGGAGGCAGCGTAGGTCAGCCAGGGGACTGTGTCTCTGGAAATGGCACTTCCTGACACCTCAGCGTTTCCACCTGCACAAGGGATCATTATCACTTAGTCAGGTATTTAACGAGTGTCCACAGGGTGCAGAGTATTTTGCTAAACCCTGTTCTACTCCTCTCTCTATGTAAATAGGGGCGGTGTCTGGATGGGTGGGATCCTCTGTCATCGCCTAGTTATCTCAGCTGGTGCCTTTCTCCTACCTCTCTGTGCCCCACCCCCTCTTTACATCCACATAACACATACAACGCACAATCAAAAAGCACACAACAGTCAGAGCAATCCAAAGGCCGTACGCGGCAGGGACTCCGGGCTTTGGCTGCTGCTGTGTTCTCCCTGAGCTGTGTGACTCTGGCAGGGTGTCCTCCCTTCTCTGGGCTTCAGAGCCCTTGGCACGAAGACCACGTGTGTGCAGCAGGTGATCTCCTAGTTTCTCCGGCCCTCAGTTCTGCCTCTCTGATGCAGCCACTGTTGTGGGCACCTGGTGACTTGTGTTTTGTCCCAAATCACTTCCAGGAGTTGTGTCCCAGCCCTCAGTTTATCGTTGGTGGAGCCACACGCACAGACATTCGACAGGGTGGTCTGGGTGAGTACCTGGGAGACACCTGTTTGTTCTGGGGGAGGGCGCTGTGTATCTGTAATTCGCAGTGTCAGATTAAGTTGTTGGACTTGACCAGCTACATTATGTACACAATTTACCCATTTGAATTGACGCTCTTGAGACTGCAGGCCTTACGCTGGGTCTGAATGCTGGCACTGTGTTTTGGCTCCCCCTAACAAGAGGTTTTCTGCCAGCTCATTTAACCTGCTTCATGCTAGAGTAACAAACTAGGTTTATATGCAAGTAGCAGAGCACTATGATGTACTATGTTTTTGTAATATTATCTTTAATTTGCCTTACGGAATGACCATGTCTACATAATTGTGGGCTATCATCATAGATGCTTTTATAATTCGTAAGAACACAAGAATCTTATTTTTCTAGCCAAACATTCTTTCACAGGCTTGGGAGCCCAGAATCAAGAATCGCCACTTCCCAGCCCATCAGAGTCCTTCCAGGTCAGGTGCAGCTAAGCTTAGGAAATAATTGCATTTTGCTTTGCGAGCTCCAGCCTTGCTTGTGGGAAAACCAGGCTCTCCTTGGCAGTGGTCTGCAAGCCTCGCAGAGGGGAGTTTCTGCGCAGAGTCAGACCACACTTAATATTTTATGGGACAACACAGCCCTGGATGGAATTTACTGGGTTTCCAAATCACTGTCGAGGGCCAGCAACAAACCCCAGACCTGGAAGCGAAGGCAAAGAAGAGACAAATCCTCTCGGTGAAAATGAGCAAAGCAAACACACACCTTAGCACCCACAGGGACCCCCTGACCTGTATTTGTTAGATTTTTCCTTCCGTCTCTCTCTGCCTTGTTCCAGCCAGGAAAACCTTTTTTGCCTTCAGCCTGCTGGAAACCCTCGTGATTGTGCAAAATCACAGAGCGTTTTATTTCAAAGGCTTCCAATGTTCTGTCCTTTAATGAGTTCGGCAAATAGGCCTTGGCCAGCTGCACGGAGAGTGGCTAGGAGGCAGCAGGAGGCGTTTGGGGTGCCAGCAGCGTGTGCCCTGTTCCCTGAAAACCTCAGCCCTAGGTCCCCAGGCTTTTTCATGAAGGCGCACAGAGCGTGGCGTTCTGACCTTTTCTGGCTCTGGGTAAGTGCGTGGTGCTTTTCCTTCGTGCTGTGTTCAGCCTGTGACTCGGGGAAATGCAACTTTGCAGGCAGGCCGTTCACAGCCCTCGTTAGAGATGTTTAACTTTGGGAAAGGTATTTAATAAGTGCCTCTGCACTGATTGACTTGGGTGGATTTTCTGCTGAATAGTTTTAAGCAAAGGGAAGAGAGCATTTCCACAGAGGAGCTCAAGCGTTACCATGGAGAGAGTGTGCAGTGATGGAGGCCGGGGGTGCAGGAAATGAACCCCACTCACTCTCAGAATCTAGCTCGCATCAAAACAAGTGGGACACGTGCCATGGCGGTCACCCTGGGGTAGCCCAGCTGTTGCCATTGTGGGCTTTTTAAAATTTTGTTTTGCTTTATAATTGTCTATTTGAGGAATAGAGAGAGAGAGAGAGAGAGAGAGAGAGAAATATCTCCCCCATCCACTGCCTCCCAAAGGCCCTCAATGGCTGGAGCTGGGCCTGGGGCCAGGAACTCAATCGAAGCCTCCCACGTGGGTGGTGGGTAGCAGGGACTCGGGTATGGGAGGCAGCCGTGCTGGCTCCCAGGGTGTGCATTGGCAGGGAGCTGGAGCCAGGGATCAAAGCCGGGTCCTCCAGTGCAGGTGTGCAGTTGACGTAGGCTTAATAGCTGGGCTAAATACCCACCCGGTGCTGGTGGTTTATACTGAAGAGAGAGGAGAGGGACTGCCGAGTCCAACCTCCCGTCCAACCTCCCGAAAGGGGTCAGGTGCTTCAGACAGCAGGACCTGTGGGCTGGTGAAGCAACCTGAGCTTCAGCAGGTGGAAAAGTGGCTGCTTCCCAGACCTGAGGCTGCAACGCAGCGCTGGGGTGGGGAGCCAGGCCCAAGCCACTGCCACCCGTGTGGGCTGGGAGATGGAGCCAGCGGCGGCCCTGAGCGGGGCGGCGGGGGTGGGGGGGGATCATGGGAGATCACAGGAGAGATTCCTCACTCGACACACAGTGTGCGTTCCTGAAGAGCAAGGCCGTGTCACAGGCCCAGTGAGCTGGGGCACAGGGTTGATGTGTGTTAGATGCTCTGTGGACTTGCAGAGCCCGGCCCGGTGCAGCGGGTCTGCTCTAGGTTTTTCTTTAATTATCTTTTTTCACTTGCCAAATGGCCAAAACAGCCCGGGCTGGAGCTGGGGACTGCACTTGGGTCTCACACATGGGTGGCAGGGGCCTGAGCACTTGAGCCATTGTCCACTGCCCTTCCAGGTGCATTAGCTGGAGGCTGGACTGGGAGCCGGGACTTGAACAGGTGCTCCACTTCCGGGTGCTATGGTGTCGCAGTGCCAGCCTCTCTAATGCATCTTTTTTTTTTTTTTTAAACATTTGGTCTATATCATGAAAACATATATTTCATGTAATTATGTGTTATTATTTTATTATTATTTTGAATACCTACAATTCAAAAATGGAGACCACTGAAAGGCAAACCTTGAAAGGGATGCTTCCCACCTGTCTCCCACGTGTCTCCACCTGTTCCATTGCTCACTGCCTTGTTACCAAAATAGTTTCAGGGCTTCTTTATGCAAATCCAAGCAAACAGAAATACACTTCCTAATTTGTATCCCTCTCTTGCATTGAAGATAGCATGCTGTAAGCCTTGGTTGACAACTTTGCAGTTGTTTGCTATTATTTCACTGAATAAAATATCTTGGCGGTCTTTCCCTGTCTACAGAGAGCTTTGTTCTTTTTTTAACCTCTCTGAGTACTGGACTGCATTGCACGGATGTAGCTCAGTTAATCTATCCTGTCTCCTGCTGGTGGACACTGGATTTATTCCCTCCCTTCTACTGTGATGGAAAGTGTTGCACCAAATCTCCTGGTTCATACGTCACGGCCAGTTGAGGTGTTTGTCAGCAGGTCTGAAGTAGGGCTGCCTCAGACAGGATGTACTGTCCACAGTCCCGTCTTCCTGAGGCTCCTTGCTCAGCCAGAATTCACCCTCAAAGTGCGAATGGTGATCCCTTGTGCAGATGGGAACACTGAGGTGTCTGAGCTTATGCTTGCAAATAGCCCAGGAGCTGGCTGTGTTTGGAGACATAATTATAGGAAAATAAAGAGCAGGGAGACTGCAGTGCTCAGGAGCCCCTTGCTCCAAGTAGTTCTTGCTGGAGAATCCGACTTTTCCTTCGGTAGCTCGGCCCCTGCAGGACACAATGGTTTTGCCTCTACACGAGTGATTAAATGAGCATCCGTGGATGAAAGCGCTCCCAAGGCAAAGCTCTCCCTGGGTCCTCGAGCTTCTTGCCACCCTGAGGAGGCGAGTTCAGATACGCTGTCTTCTGCGTCACCACCCTTTCCTTGCCCTGTCTTCTCAGCTAAGCCCACATTCACCAGGTCCAGCGAGGGCCACCCACATACAGGGTCCCTCCAGCGGGTGGGGATGGAGTCAGCTCTAAGTGTGAAGTTCCGTGCAGAACGTGTCTGCAAGTGCCTGGTCCAGTGGAGGCTCCTGCTGCCCGTCACCCAGCTGCAGAGGCCCAGCCGGTCCTGCTGCTGCTTCTCCCAGCCAGCCAGCCTCTCCCTCGCGTTCTGCTCCGTGCGCGTCCCAGCACGTCCTGAGGCTTCTGTGACCAGTGTGCCTGTCCCGCTCTCATCTCCTGCTGGTCTCTGTGGGCTGGCTTCAGCCTCGTCCTTGGTAGACAGGCTGCACGTGGCATGCCCACGAGTGGTCCCGAGCTCCACCCCAGTGGCACCCCACACAGCGTTGGTTTGCCCAGTCTCAGGAAAGGCCTGTGATGTGATGTGATGGTTTGTGCCTTCACCTGCAGTGTGGGCCCAGTACTGCAGTCAGAGGGGTAAGGTACCACATGGTTGTGCCAGTGAGGTTGTGGACCCACTCTTTTTTTTTTTTTTTTTTTTTTTGACAGGCAGAGTGGACAGTGAGAGAGAGAGACAGAGAGAAAGGTCTTCCTTTTGCTGTTGGTTCACCCTCCAATGGCCGCCGCGGCCGGCGCACTGTGCTGATCCGATGGCAGGAGCCAGGTGCTTCTCCTTGTCTCCCATGGGGTGCAGGGCCCAAGCACTTGGGCCATCCTCCACTGCACTCCCTGGCCACAGCAGAGAGCTGGCCTGGAAGAGGGGCAACAGGGACAGAATCCGGCGCCCCGACCGGGACTAGAACCCCGTGTGCCGGCACCGCAAGGTAGAGGATTAGCCTAGTGAGCCGCGGTGCCGGCCTGTGGACCCACTCTTGTGAGAGTCTCCCCCCCAAACCACAGGGCACGTTCCCTAGAAGACGAGGGCACTGGCTGTGGGCAGATAGAAGCAGGAGAGTAACCGTCAGGGACTCAGGGCTGGCCCACCCATACTCTTCCTCCCCAGGTCATCTCTGCCCTTTGGCCTCTTTGCCCCTCCCCTAAGTCTACCCCCGCAGTGCCCCTGGAGGCACCTTTCCTGAGGGCCCTGCCTCTTTCTCCCTGGATTCCACACACAAAGTAGTCCTGGGTCTCTGTGGTCTCTCTGACCTCTCTACCTCAGTTTTCCCAGCTGCAAAGTGGGTATATAATCAAACCCTGCTTGTCAGGTGGTTGTGATAAGTAGAGAATTAATGCTGGGTTCCTTATCGTCCAAGAAGTGAGCACTACGTGGATGGACGTGGATGGACGTGGATGGTAATAAGCCTGGGAGTCCTGCCTGTGTGCTCTACGGAACTGTCTCACACGTTCTGTGTCCACTGTGCCTGGGGCAAAGCAGGGCTCATGTATGTCTGCTGCACTTTTGTGTGCTGGCCTAAACCCTCTGCCTTCCATCATTATAAAGTGTTTGAAAACAGGCTTAGTTAATTTTTTTTGCTGCTAAGACAGACTGGGTCATTTATAAACAATAGACGTTTATTCAGCTCACGGTTTTGGAGGCTGG